CTGAGTCTTCCTTCACCACTAGCTTGGCAGAGAACAGGGAAGGGGATGTGAAGATCTGTGCCCAATTCAAAACAGTATATTTGCACCCAGAAACCAGAGGAGGAAGGGCCCAAGTGCCTGCATTTGAACCTCTGGGGATCTGACAGATGCTGAGCTGAGTGGCATTCCCTGTCACGTTAATGACAGTTGCAATTAGCACAGGCAGTGTTTGGATGCTAAAATGCTGCTTGACTTTAAAAAACCCCACAATTTGTCTGCAGTGCATCCTGTCACTGTAGAGTACTGCTCACGCTGTGTGCGGTACCTCCACCAGAAGCTATTTTTGTGCTGGATTTGCCACAGGAGAATAAAATCTCCTTTAAAAGGCACTGATGCTGCAGCAGACACTGCAGCACACAACGTTTTATTTGCCTAACAGGTGAAGGCCATTCAGTGCCATCCTTTTCTCCCTGGTCCCATCTCTCCTTGATGCCACGGCAGTTGGTGCTAAGCACTATGAGAATACTTGGGTGCAGTGTCCTAAAAAGTGCCTTAAAAGTTTCCACCAATTGATCCAGCACTTCTCATCTATCAGCCAAAAGTAAAGTGGGTCAAAGACAGCTTTTCAGCAGGAAAACCAACCTAAAATTACAATACCTGGGAGAGCTAAGCAAAGATGAGTGACTGGAAGGAGCACTGCTGCACTGATCCATCCCTGTGTGTTCTGCCCTGGAAGGGGCACTGACCAGGGGGAATGTGAACAGCACAGCAGGATCATTGCCCTTCAGTTCCCAGAACATCCCAGCAGTCACTGGTTGCTACAAGACGTTGCAGCAGAACCTCCCCAACAGTATGTGCTCTTGAGCTTAGCCTGGCAAATAGAGGGAAGACTACCAGTGCTGAAGTGCAAGCAAGCACATTCCAGAAACTCAGCCTGCCTCTATGTGTCCAACAAAAGCAATCCCTTTCTCTGTCCAGGCTGGATGTATTCTGCTGTTCCTGTCTCTAGGGGAAGACTTCACAGCAATAAGCATCAGCAAGGGTTTGGTTTTACATTTTATTTCCAGTGGAAATGCATCAGAGCCCAAGCAGGATGCAATCTGGCTGGTTGTGCCCCAGCCATTTTGGAGGTACAGTGCTGGGGTCTGTAATCAAAGCCTTGTTTTGAGATTTTGTTTTATGAAGGAGACCCTGAGGTATGGCAGCTGATAGATCCATGTGCAGTATTATTGTGCTGTAAATCCCTCTCTACAAATACTAAGCTTTTTTTTTTTAAGCTTACATGTAGATGCTGGATGTGCTGGTATGCAAAAACTCATTTGCACCATATTATGTAAAGCCAGACCAAGACAATACCATTCATAAAAGAGAGAAGAGAAACAAATGATACGGCCACTACAAAATCCTGCCTAAAAATCCTCTATTTGTCTTAGTGTACCTCCCCCATTCTCAGACCCTTACAGAGGACAGGACACTGAGAAACACTACCAGCAAATCACAGGACTAACTTGTGCCCCGTGTCATCCAGCATGCTCATCTGGCAACATACACTAAAATACAAGGTAGTTCTGCCCCAAACCCAGCTCCTTCTTTGGCCTTAAAGCTAGCTCTGGAGTGCTCATCTGCCTCTCTTGTGATGTAAGGTTTTCATAACTTTCTCCCATTCACCACTGCTTACTGAATTCCATACCTTCTCCTATGCTTTGATTTTTCTCTTCCCTGAAAAGCTTCATCATGCAGTTTATCCTTTAAAATTCCCACACTCCCAAAGCTTTATGGCTTTCTGCTATCCTCCTTCCTTCTAGCCAACTCTCTAACTACTAAGAGGACAACTGCAGGCCTTCTGCATAAAGACAATTCCGCTGTATTCCTCAAATGCAGTACTTGTTTACAACCCCCTGCCTCCAAAGCAGGCACATAAGAGAGGCCAAGGTAATCGGCAGGTTGCTGTTTTTCTCTGCACTTACAAATGGGAATTTTTCCTGCTATGAGGTTTTGTGAGTGCCAAATCCTCTGCCAAAGCTTTTCATGTGATCTGGCTGAAAAGCAAGAAGCGTCAGACGTTTCACTGCAAACCATGTTTTCCAGCCCAGGTTTGTATGCAGAAGAGATCCAAACAACTTGAAGAGAAACCTGACTTTGCAGTGATCTTCTGGCGCACCCTCTGTTAGCATCTAAGGGAGACCTGCAGTCCAAAACATACTGAAATTAACCCTGTTTGGTTTTACACTCATTTGGTCTGTCCTGTCACCCCTTACTCTAACTGCTTTTGATCCTCTGCTATGCCACATGTTGTTCCCTTTTCCTCACCTAATTCAATAAATGGAATATAGAAAAAAGAAAATATCTTTTCTTATGCATGTAAAGTTAGAGCCATCCAGCCTAAATCGGGCAGCTTTCTGGTACCTTGTCAAAAAAGCAGAACTCAAAGTAAAACAAAGAAAAGATCCAGCCTCCTCATTATGAAAGTGTGATCAGTTCAGTAAGAAATATACAAGAAGAAAAAAGGCGATGAAAGCAAAATGTAAATATTTTGGGTTAAATGGTCCTTAACAGGACCCTAAAGGAGCACAAGCTGCAATGATCCTGCAAGGAGAAGAGAGGTTCCAGTTGCCTATCCAAAGCCCTAATGGCTTTCCAGGCATCTGGTCCAAGTTACTCTCTCTTTGCAAGTAAAGTGGGAGGGGAGAAAAAGGAATCTGCAAGAATAGAATGAAGAAGCAAGAAAGCGACTTCTGCCAGCAGGAGAGCAGAACATGGCAGCCCAAATGGCATCTGCTTGCTCAGTGCAGGACAGCCAGCAAGTGGGCTGCCTTGTGGCTGCAACATGACGAGCACTGCAGGGAGAAGGCAACTCAGGATTGGAAAAACAAGTGGTGAATTTCCCCCCCAGCCTTCCTTTGCAGAGCTGTGGACAAACTGTGACAGAACTCCACCTGTGTATTTTTTCAAAATGTTAATTATCATTCATGCCAGCAAACCAACACAGCTCCCAACTTTGAGGGCACGGGGTTCGGTCGCAGGGCAGGTGTCTGGTCTCAGGCTGTGCTGAACGAGAGGCTCACAACTGGGAAACTGATCCACTTCTTGCAGAGTCGAAGGGTTGATTTCATTGGAGTGAGAAAATGGGCAAGAAATTTGCTTGGAAAGGCCATCATGATCCTAGCTAAGCCTCAGCATGCATCCCAGGCTGTTTTTCAGACATTCTGTTCTGTGTTTCACAGTCTCAGGTTGATGGACTCCTCTCCTTTGTTTTTACCAACTTCTAAAAACAGTCTCCCAGTGTCTGAAAAGCGTGGGGAGAGATGGAAAGTTCAGCCAGGCCAGATGATCCACAGGCTTGGGACTCAGAGTAAATGGGCTTGTTTGCTTAAGTTGTTCCTCCGGTGTTTTTTTGGAAAGAGTGCAGTGCAAAACAAGGCTGTTATTAAATCTAGCATGAGGACTATGCTTACAACATTACACAAAAATGGGTATTAAATCTTTTCCCCTGAATCACAAACAAAACATCACTGGCAAATGCACTGAGAAGTTAAACTGGCCCAGAATACTTCAGTCTCTGAATCAAGCAAAAATAATGAGACAGATTTGTCAAAGGCAGCCTTCCCAGCCAGCAACACAGATGAGATGTGCTTGTGACACCGGTGAGAATATTTCCCCCAATGAGATTATTGTCTTGGTCGCACCTCATACGAATCTATTTTCCAAGCTCGTTATTTCCACTGGGTGCAGGGTCAGCCTCGCAGTGCCCCATTCAACAATACACTGAACACTATTTTTTATTCTGCGATTTGTGCTAAGATTTTCCACCCAGGGAGCTTAGTTCCTCTTGCCCTCAGTACTGGCCAGACTCAGGAGGGACATCAGAGCAGCGTAACAAGCTCCAGAGGGGAAAACAAAATTCTGCACTGGGGATCAGAAGGATGGAGTAGCACACAAGGGTTGCAGTAGCACACAAAGGTTCCTTCATCAGTGGTCATTATATGTCACTAGGAAGCACAAGGTCATAATTTTTAAATCCCATTTTCCTAATCCTAACGGCTGCTTTCTCTATGGTGTGGTACAATTAAATAGGGATCTTGATGATGCAGGATTGCCAAAAAAAGGAAGGATTCGGAGGAGGGGTAAGGCAGGCAGAGAACCAAAGGTAACGTGGTGTCTTTTTAAGATGCAGCACAGTCTTCACTGTGTGTTTCAGAAAGAAGTCTTCCCCTTGACCGCTGCAGAGCTGTCAAATTGCCCAGGAGGCTCAAAGCAGAGGGTCATCTTTCAGACAATTTCACATGGCAAAAGAAATCTTCATTTCTGAGCCAGATACCCTAAGCTTCTAAAGGAATTAAATCTCTGATTCTGCCTTTCAAACCCTCGGCAGAAGGGAGAGGAGAAGGAAGCACACGAGGTCAACGCCGATGTCTTGACTCCCCAAGGAAGGCTCCAGAGGGCCCTAATAACGTGGCAGAAGTGATGATAGCAAGAAGGGCATCTCCTTGTGCCTTCACTTTCTTAAGACGTACAGAGTGAAAAAAAAAAAGAATAAATAAAGTGCTTGAATCCTTTTTATTTGGGAAAGGCTGGGTTGCCACTGGAGACAGCTAGGTACAACAAAACCTGCTTCAGCAAAAAAGCGGCGACAAGCCAAATTGCTCCTGATCCCCTTGAAAGAATAAACAGAGCTGGTTGCTCTCCTGAGCGCTGGCTGCCTGTAGACCCCAATCCTTTACTTACAGTTAGCACGACACAACTGGTTTTCCAAAAAAGAAATGCTTCAGGAGGGAGGCAACAGCAGGTTAAGAGACACAGCAAAGGCATTCCACATCCCAAGACCACAAAGCAACGCCTGAATCCTCTACCCCACACCCATGTCTTTCAAAATCATTTTTCTTTCCCGTTTTTCACAGAGAAAACATGCACAGTGGAAATAAGCACCAATGACAACAAATGCAGTAAGTAGAACAGTTCATCAACCAACCCGAGCAATGGCAGCAATTCGCTGAAGCAGAAAAAACAAGAAGGTCACTCACCCTCACGAAGCTGGCGGGAAACCATCCTTCTTCATCATCAATCTGACCCCACCACCAGTCCTTGTTGGAAGCATCCAGCACCTTGATAACGTCTCCTGCTTTAAATGCCAACTCCCGGTTGGCCATGGTGACGTGATCCCATACTGCCTCAGCACTTACAATAGAACCACCACTGATCAGCTTTGGAAACAGAAAACCAAGAGTCAGTAAGAGCTCGTTTCCCTGACACAAGCACATGCACAGCAGCAGCAGCAACACAGAAAGAAAGCGCTCAGCCGAAAGAAAACACTTTTCCCCCATTCCAATCCATAACCATTTTGCCTTCACATGAAGTAATAACAAGATACAAATCAGTCTACAGCCATTTCTCAGACCGCTGTTCTGCCCCTAACCATGCAAGTGGGTGTGTGGACGTTCAGCATCTCTGGTCCTATATGCATGGAGAAAGCAACACTCCCCTCACTGCCACGTTAACCACGGGCATGGGCATGCACAGCTGTTTGCCCAAGCCAGCCAGCACAAGGCATAGCTGGGAGGTCCCAATGGAGGCAGAAAATGGCATCGTACAAAGGAATTTTAGTTTCAGTGAAAGTTTGTTCAGTTAAAAACAGTCACAGCTTGAGGCTCAGAAGGCAATCCATGCAAAGTCAAGCAAAGCTTTCAAACATATTTAGAAGAATGCTTTTTGTACAACTGTAAGCTTAGTATTCCTCTAATGCTAATGACATACTGAGTGTTTTGAAATGTTCCCAGCAGACGAGCAGGGTACGAGAACACCTGCTGACCTGTTGCAGGCCCACCCCTAAGAACTGCACCAAGGCCAGCCCGGTGCCCTGGGACCTACTTTTACTGAGCATGGTCACTTCAGAGCTGGCCAGCAGACAGCAATGACCTCTGTGAGTCTCACTTTCATTTCAAGCCACCCCATTTTATACAAATTCCTACCTCACACCTGCAAGAAGGACTCATGCAAACACTGGCACTCATGCAACATCACACAAACCATCCACCTGTGCCCAGGACACCAGCTGCTCCTCACAACGAGTTATTTAGGTTTTAACAGAGTAATAAGTGTTTATGCCCCATCCTGCAAGGATTCAGCACAGAACAGGCAGAGCACTCGAGCACATCTGAACGTTGCCCATGTGCTTACTGGTTTGTTAGAGCCATCCCAAGCCATGTTTGTTAATTCTGGTGCCTGAGATGCACTCAGTGAGCACTAGGGCTCACCTCCAGAGTGAAATTTTAACCCACAAAGAGTGAACTCAGCTTTGTAACCATTACAGCCTTTCCAAGACATTAATAGCCACAGATATCTCAATTTAGGCAAGCAATACAAAGCGTAAAAGCAATAACCCATCACTACAGTGAAGTAAGGGGAAAAGCACTGGGAATGGTTAGAGAGCACTTAACAGCTCTGCTAGAAATTTGGCTTACAAAAATGCCCATTAACAACTGCCTGCACAGTAAGGACTTGCAGTAAACCTTCTGGCACTGCCGCAGCATTTTCAGCATAAATGTGAAGAGTATTTAAGACCCTATGGGCAATTCCATCAACAGATTAAAGGACCTAATGTACAGTTTCTCTTGAACTGACTTTCCTTTAAGAAATCGAGCTTCTTAGATTTGTGACAATTGCAGTTACAGCTTCAGCTCTTCAGTTATTAGGGTTGGTTTACGTAACAAAAGCAGTATCTAAGAAAAGAAACAAGCCTTCTCCATATGTTATATTAAGGCCTTGCTAAGTACAAACCTTACGAGATCTCTGGATAAGAGAACAGAAAATAAAAGCACAGGTTAATAATGAGCTCCCACTCAGAGTCGGGCAGTGGGCATGATGTGTTGCACTTACTGCAGAGGGCACCTAACAGACTGGTGTGACTTTATCTTACACTCAGGCATTTGATACAGGGATGGCTGCAGTCAGGTGGCATAAAACCCTCAGCTGTCCCAGCCCTGGGCAGCTCCTTCCCCTGGTGTTTCAGCAGCCCTTCAGGCACCCAGGCATTTTGGCTACAACGTTCTTGAATACAGATGATGAGAACTGTAAATACTATTCTCTAAGAGACCTTACCAGGGATGTGTGAAGCAGCATGAATTATTTCCCTTACAGCATCTCAGTGAGACACTGCACCTCCACCTCCTCCCATGGCTGCTGCCCACCAGCAGCTCACTGCGATCGGGCACTCATCTAACGAGAGGAGGGAGAGGGCCTCCTCTTTATCTAGAAAATCAGGTGTCTTATCAAAAAATAAATCGGGTTGGCCTGACACTCATTCCCTTTGTTAATGCCAATGGGTATTTCAGTCAGTTTTTTACTGATGATGAACCAGGAGCAGAGCTATTATGCAGAAGCTGCATTTCTGCTTTTTGTGCTTCAACTGACATAGACTTCATACACAGGCAGATCTGAGTATGAGCTGCCACAAAAATGTCACCAAAACCAAGCTTCAGAGGGACTGTGCTTCAGAGTCTCCTAGCCCACTTTGTAGAAGCAAATTTCCAAGCCTGAGGCTCCAAAGCCCAGCTTTGAGGAGCACAGAAAGGCTGGTGGAGAGTGCAGAAAAGCAGGGCTGTGTGCTCAGTGATGCCAGAGGGACATTCGGCTGGTCCTTTCCTCAGCCCAGAAAAGAGATCCACTTGCCAGGAAGCTGGCAGCAAGCCTCACCCTTCCAAAGTACAAAAACAGCTCAGCCAGCAGTAACAGCACAGTGGTGGGATGGCAGAATTTGGGTGCTGGGTCCACTGAGAAAATGTCAGCACCTGACATTGAAAGGTCCAGTTTTTATTTTGGAAGGCATCTTGCTGCATCTGTGCAGCTGTCCGACTCATTCAGGGCAGGGTTACAAAGACAGAACCTGACGTCTGCAGCAGCGAGGGATGAGAACAAGAGAAAGGTCAGGATAAAATACTGTATATTTCCTGAGAAAATGCAACACCAGAGCTCTTCAATCCAGAAAGTTCACATCCCTTGGTTTCAAGTCTGAGCCTAAAAACTGTGGTCAGACATCCTCAGCCAAAGACTCTGAATGGAACTTATCTCCCATGCTTTTAGTTGTCTACCATACAGCATCTGAACCAGTCATCAGGACTCCTTTATAATCAGCAAAGAGAAAGAGACACATCTGGAGTGTGATTCATCTCCGCTATTTCAGTTACGTACCTCCAAGTGAGGAGCATTGTGCCCTAGAAATGACTATTTCTTTCTGTTTAATTGGGTGATGCAGAAGTTTACATTTCTGACATCTTAACATTCATGCTATAATCTGGCCGTGGCCAAAAAGCAGTAAGCAAAGATTGGATTAAATAATGATAATCACCATAGTAATGGCCAAATAGTTAAATCACACTATCACAGACACCGATTTCCTGATGGACAAGGGCTTTGTAAATAACATTGTGTTCTCTGGGCCCATTGGGAGAATCTCAGCCTTGTGAATTTATAATAATGAGGATCTGAATATCTGGAGAAAATATACTGCTTAGAAGGACACGGTGGCAGCCAGAAGAAACACATTAGCTGATAACATGCTTATGGGTTTGACAGACATGCAGACATACAGCATGTCCAGGTGAAAGCCCTAGATCCTATGACAATCGCCTTGCAGCAATCCCTCAGTTCAATTTTCACTACGGCTTTCCAAAGCGCTCTGCAAACCTCCAATAAGGAATTCAGGCACAAATCCTTGCTCTGAAGGTGCTTATTTAAAACGCCCCTATTACTCATGTACAACAGGTGACTGCTTCACGACAGCAAACAAAGCCACAAGAAAGCAATTCAATAACTGCTACGTAACGTCCATGTGGATTTTGCTTTCTCTCCTAGTCTGGTTTTATTTCAGGAATTCTGATATGCAGCACGGCAGGGATGCTGTAGGCTCTACCACAGCAAATGTGGTGTGGTGCAGTGCTGCAGAACCTCTGCTGAGCTCACCTGCTGTGTCTTCCATCACCTTGCTTGCTCCCAGAGCCAAGACCTGCATTTCTGGCCAATGTCTGCCTGCAGTGAGGCAGCTGACTCTGAAACAGGTTTTAGAGAAATCACCTAATCCTAAGTATTCTCATCTTGTCAGCACTTACTGGTTTCTTAATGGCCAACTTGGAAAAAGAAATCAGGGATTTACTGGTCCCTGTAGACTGAAATGGACACAAAATAGCAGAAATTCTTTTAGTGAATGACTCAGTTTGAGGCTGGGGAATGCAAACCTCTATTCCTAACTCTTTCAGGGATAAATAAACCTTCAGCTCCCTACATTCCGCACTGGCTTTTAAGCACAGAGTTTCTCAAGATCCAGAATTCACCTAAGGAACAAACAGCCACCCCCCAAAACATCCAGAGAAGTCTACCATCAGCCACCATCTCTTTAGAAAATTTTAAATAAGTGCAAAGTTTCCAAGACTGTGACCTCTGGGTATTACCACAAACAAAACAAAAATCAACAAAACCCCACAGCTCTGGGTAGTTCCCATTCAAAATAGAGTCACGTGAACTATGTACTCCTCCGCAGGATCAGGATGGCAGTCTGTGCAGGGGAGATGGAGAAAAGCAGTGACACAATGCCATTTGTTTAAATTGTCCTTGTACAGACACGTCCTGTATACGAACACCATAACGGCACTCTAAAATAATGACAGCATTTCCCATTGTATTCAACAGGCTCCTTCCAGAATGGCAGAAGCCAAAACACCTTTGAGCAAAAATACACAGAGAGAAAGAGTTCAGGATGAAGAAACAGATCCTTGGGTAAGTCCAGCAGAATAGGAGACACTTTGCTTCCCGTGTTCCCAGCAGAAAGGCACCTTACGCTGCTTTACCCACTCATGTTTTAATTGCATTGCTCCCTCACGTGCAGTAATGCTTACAGCACAGATTGTAAGGCTGTTTCTCATGGGGCTATTTACTGTAATAGCAATGCCATCATCTTAAAGATGTCCTAAGAAACATGTGCGCGGCTGCTGTGCAATCCCCTTGTCCATCTCCACGTTTAAACAACAAGCACCGTGTGCCCACGTGTCACTGGTTTCTGGGCTGGTTCGGCCCAGTGGGGTGGGGTGGGGAAACTCACTGACCTGCAGCCCAGGAGAGGAGGAAGAGGGGAAGGGAACAAGCAGGGAAATGGGCCTACAAACACAAAATGGCAGCGAGCTAATGGAGAAAACTAACTTACTAAATAAGATAG